TCATCATCATGCATCAATGTATTAAAGTGTGAATGTTTTCAAAAATAAGTCAGCGTATTGTTTTTTTTCTGTTTGTGCAGCACTTTATTAGCTTTTTATTTTATTTTTTCTAACTTACTGGTAATTTGTTTTGATCCTTTACTTCCATAACTTATAAAAAATGATTTTATACTTTTTTCAGTTTTGTAACCAATTAATATATTAAGATCATTAAAAACAACCGACTCAAAGCAAAAAGTGTACACACTTCTAATTTATATGCTGTATTAAGTATACCTGATCAAGTTATATAATTCTGATTACAAATCTTGTTCAATGTAGTTGTCTCAACTTCTTAAACGGCAGTTTCTAAAATTAATTCTGAAAAAACACTATATTTACTGAGAGGAGAACAAAATGTCGAAGTTGACCAGACAAAGAAAGAGTTGGGGGAAAATCATCTTTTTTGTAATATGATTATATTACTTGCTTTAAGTGAGTGGAATCTTTAACCTCCCAATTTCCAAACTGGACCTGTGATGTCCCACACTTTAAACGTCATCAAAGCTTCAGGTATTTGTTTCTTACTTTCACTGAGAGGCATAAAAATACCCAAAGGGGGCAACAAACGAACAGTTTCTAATCAGACTTTAGAATAAACGAGTCTGTTTGTCATTTTCACACAGTGGGTCGAGCTCATGGACGACAACAATCCTGTGGAAAGTTACATCGAAGTGCGATATTTTTGTCTGTTTGTGTTTGGAAAACAGAGAGAAAGAGAACGTGGGGTTCCCCCCTCCTCTGTGAGTGGGTCTATCGCATGTTTCCACCTATCTTCTTCGGCACCTTTTACCTTTGGCATTTAAGCCAACCCCCACACACACTGCAGCGGATGCTCCACGCGAGGGGCCACAGTAACACACACACAGGCCCCAGCTACGGGGGATTTCCCCATAGTGTTGCACACTGCCATGCAGTGGATCTGTGTGTGTTTGTGCGTCTCTGTTTGTGGTGTGTGTGTGTGTGTGTGTTCTGTCCACTTTCAGGGGACTCCCAGACTTGCAGACTGAGGGGGAGGAACAAAACTGACAGTGAAAGTTTAACCTCCTGTGTCTGCTGTGTTGTTTGTGTCAGAGAGGGCAGGAACATGCGTGTGTGTGTATCTTTGTATTTGTGTGCAGACATATTTTGACATTATACTATATTTGTGAGGACTTTTTGTTGTTGTTTTTTTAAACATTTACCTGAAAAAAAGTGGCTCAGGGGTTAGGGTTTAGGCTGTAGAAAATAATGGAAGTAAATGCAAAATCCACAAAAGTATGGAGAAATGATTGTGTGTGCACGTTGGTGTGCACCATGACCATTCCCCACGGGTATGGATGCTACTTCGGTTTAGGACCAAGGTGCGAATTGAGTTTAGATTAGTTTTAGGGTCAGGTTGATACCTGTGAGGTTAATTTTAAGGTAAATGGTCAGGGTTAGGATATTAAATTTCCAAAAACTGAATGGAAGTCAATGGAAAGTCCCCACAAGGATGGAGAGACATAGTAGGTGTGTGTGTATGTGTGTGTACTTGTATTTGTAATCTTTTTTGGGACCGTTTCTGCTATACACTCATGTGTTGTCGACACCAGAGGTCCTAATGGGGACCAAAGACTGGTCCCAATATGATGACTCCATTTTTGGGTTGGGAGTCAAGGTGGGAATTGAGTTTAGGTTAGGTTCAGTGGTGGGCACAGTTCCCCTAAAGCACTAATAGGGGAACTAATTACCTGATTAGTGCTTTAGGGCTTTTGCTCATTTTAAAATTTATTAGTGAATTAGCACTTGCTACATTTATAGGCTAAATTTAGAAGCACTAACTGAGGTCTATAAAAGTTATTGATAAACATTTTGTTCATAATGTGTCACTGATCCACCAGGTGACAACATATTAACAATATATGAATCAAATCCAGCTGTGGGATGTCAATGATAAGTCTTAAGAGAGCAACATGTGACTCATGTTGTCTGTTGAACAGTGTTGTATAAAGTACATCAAAGTGAGACTTGAGTAAAAGTACAAGTATCTTATCATAAAACACTTTGGTAAAAGTTAAAGTATTCTCTAAAATATTACTTGAGTAAAAGTCTTAAAGTATCTGATATATTTTGTACTTAAGTATCAAAAGTAAATTTATGACACAAAATCTACTCAAGTATTAAAAGTAAAAGTACTGAGTAAAAGTGAGCAGTTAGATTTTCCAAAATGACATTTATTGGGAGGTGACTTCTCCAAAAACTATATTTTCTGACAGCGTGCAGCTGTAATGGGTTGTGTACAAGCTAATAGTGTGTCAGAATGGTATATACAGTATTTATACTTCTCATCCAAACACAATTAAATTCACTCTATCAGGAGACAATTTATCAGCATAGTATTTTTTAAGTAATAATTCAGAATAAAATAGGAGTAACGACTTTCTACTTCTTACCTTTTTAAAAAATGTAGTGAGTAGAAAGTACAGATAATTGTGTAAAAACATAATGAGTAAAAGTAAAAAGTACGCTGAAAAATAATTACTCAAGTAAAGTACAGATACCCAAATAATTCTACTTAAGTACAGTAACAAAGTATTTGTTCTTAGTTACTTTACAACTCTGCTGTTGAAGAATATTCATGGGCTGACTGGGTTATTTTAGTGCTTTAGAGTTAGCTTTTGCTAAATTTTTCAGTGCGTTAGTGCTTTA